ACTGGCTTGTGCAAACAACGCACTGTGTATGCTATGAACACTTTCTTCTACGCTCTATAATGGATGTTCGCGTTAAGAGAAAGGCAGTGCTCTCAACTGATCACCACCTTGCAGTTGGCAAGCTAGGCTGCGAGAAGTATTAAGCGAACATCTGGTGCAGAAGCAAAGCAACCAAAGCATCTAATTGGAATCATTATCTTATGCGGATACGAAAGCAGAACTTGCGAACATCATCGCATGAAGGGTTGAATGGATCCCAGTGATGACAATGCTGATGTGGACATCTTGAAGCACTTTAAAAGCGGTTTATTTGTCGCTGCCGCTAAATATTGCGATTAAATGAGTTGATCTGCTGCCCAGAAGTGAGAAACGAACAAGATCTTCTGGTGGACAAGAGAGGAACAACTGAATGTCACTAAGAAGAATGCCGCATTCAAGAAATGAACTGGAAACAAATAGATTTCGACTTGTATGCGGTATGAAGAAGCGCGCAAGGCGGCAGTGACGAAAGCCAATGCAGACTTCAGGCGTAAGCTGAGGTGTGAAATTTCCAGACGCCAAACAAGGTATTCCAGCAAACCGTCCCCCCCGCCTTCGAGGTGAAAAGAACGCCAGTTTAAGGGTCGATCTGTCTGGCAACTTCTTGCTGACGATGAGGATACTCTTCGGTAATGGACAGAGTACTTTAGGAAACTCATTTACAGTGAGCAACTGTGAATATGAAGGAAGACATGCCTGACGAACAACAGACAACGGATATTACTATTCCTATAGACGAAATCGGTGAAAACATGAAACGTGGAAAGGCTACTGGAATCGATGAAATCCTCGCTGACTGCTTAAACCATTAGGAGAAAAAAGCAAGTGTTGCCTTACACGTATACGTAAAACTGCAACGCCTACGCTTTGCATGAATTAGCCGCAACCGTAGTGTCTAAGTTACAGATAAGTCGGCCTTTTCAGCTGCATTTGTTGAAGTCGTTATTCGTTGCCATGCTAACCAATGGCAATGAAACATGGACCATAAGCAGACATCTTCGATCTCGGATACAAACAGCTCAGATCGCTAGGCACGCGCCTCTCGACATGGTCCGCAGTACACCGATCCGACAGAGGTTTGGGGT